ATGTATTTGTTTAGGAAGAGGAAACAACCTGTCATTTTAGCATGTACATACTAAGGCAGTACTAAGGAGGAGTGGCTGGAGAGCTGCCTGGTGGAAAAGGACCTGGAGGTGCTGGTCAGCAGCCAGCTGACCATGAGCCAGCACTGTGCCCAGGTGGCCAAGAAGGCCAACAGCATCCTGGCCTGTATCAGAAATAGTGTGGCCAGCAGGAGCAGGGAAGTGATTGCGGCACTGGTGAGGCCGCAGCTCGAATACTGTTTTGGGCCTCTCATTACAAGAAGGACACTGAGGTGCTGGAGCGTGTCCAGAGAAGGGCAACGAAGCTGGTGAGGGGTCTGGAGCACAAGTCTTATGAGGAGTGGCTGAGGGAACTGGGGTTGTTCAGTCTGGAGAAAAAGAGGCTGAGGGGAGACCTTATCACTCTCCACAACTACCTGAAAGGGGGTTGTGGTGAGGTGGGTCTTGGTGTCTTCTCTCAACTAGCAAGTGATAGGACGAGAGGAAACGGCCTCAAGTTGAACTAGGGGAGGTTTCGATTGGATATTAGGAAAAATTTCTTCACCAAAAGGGTTGTCAGGCATTGGAACAGGCTGGGGAAATGATTGAATCACCGTCACTGGAGGTGTTTAAAAGACATGTAGATGTGGTGCTTAGGGACATGGTTTAGTGGTGGACTTGGCAGTTCTAGATTTATGATTGGACTCAATGGTCTTAAAGGTCTTTTCCAACCTAAATGAATCTATGATTCTATTCATTTTAACTGGAAAAAGAGCAAGCCTCCTAACTTGACTACATCCCAAAATGTTAATACATTCACAACCAAAAAGATAAGTGAACACACAAAACTGTGGTAACAAAATACTTTACTAAAATATCATACATTGAATAGTTAGCTCAACGTTCTCATGTTCTATGCAAATAATGCAAACATTGTCACGCAGTTTATGTTAACATTATATAGCAACCCACACAAATCCAAGAAGAGCTGCATTCCTGTTAGATCCGTTACAGACAGTTAGCCCTTGTGTTCCGTTCAGCTTTTACGTAAGGCAAATGTTTCATTATAAAAATCTACTCTGTACTCTCAGAAGTGCCTAGAAGGGTTATATTTCCCCAGTAATACTGAATCAGATGAGATGAGTGACCAAATCCTTCACAGATATTTTTTAAAATCCCAACCTAAACTAAGAATCTGTTAGTTGATGAGTTAGAGTTGTGAAAAATGTATTCATTTTTCTGTATTCAAAAACTGATCTTGTGTTGCAACAAACATACTATGTTGAAATGCAGAACTCTAACCGACTCTTAAGACACTGTCAGCTTTATTGATTTTTACACTACTTCCTACTAAATGAGAAACAATGGAGTAACTTCTAAAAGCTATTCATTAAAAACTGATTTAATGATCATTTGACCCAGAAATCATAAAACTGTTAGGATAGTGCACTATTTTTACAGATAAACTACCTCAAAATTGCCTAAATTAGTTTATTAGCTTATACAAAATTGTAAAAATAATTACATGTACACTGCAGTATTGTGTTTACAGTTCTAGTTATATTTCCCATTTTTTGTGATGGTCTTTCATAGGAAAAAACACATAATTTGTCAAAAGTCCACTAATACTGTTTTGATTGTGTTAAAAGCCATGACCTGAGGCCTAAGCTGCAAAAGCTAATTTCATTTAGCTGATACATACAAACTGACTAACATAGTTTTTCAAAGAAATGAATTTGCTTTGCATGCAATCATCTTTTCCAGCAGGATAACCTTACATTATAAGTAATTAATTATTAATTTACTATATTCTTATTCAAAGCAACCTACTTTGGAGAGAATTATGGAATCAATTTCTAATTTATGGGACCACAAAGAAAATCATATGTTGAGGAAAATAACATGCAGTAACCTAAAGTATTCACTTGGGAAGATAATTGGCTAAAAGGTGAGGAACAGGCTGTCTGAATCCATAACAGTTCAGCCTGTACTCATTTGCTCCTCATCAGAGACTCAGCAGTGATAAGCCAAATGCTTCAGATAGATAGGCAGGCTGTTAGATACTTAATAACATATATTCAGTGGGGACAAAATATTTCAAATGCAGTAATAAAGAGAGGCACCTTGCACGGGTCATCTGAAATTACAAGTCGACTCCCTGGAAACGGTATCCAGAATGGGATGGTTTCTTAAAACGTGCCTGAGGACCTTGTTCCCAATGGCACGGTAAGTATGAATTTAACTCCAAAAATATAGTGGTGGCACCTGTAAATGTGATTAACAGAGAATAGCACCATCTTCCCAGTCAGTAGCTATATTCAAGTAATTAGGAACACCCCTGAACTAAAATAAAAGCCACAGTCAAGAAGTCCAGCAGACTTGGCCCTCAAGGGTAATCTTTTTTATGATGACACAAAGTCACAAACTGCTCAGGTAAGACATATTTTAATGCCAGTCACAAGCAGCTATCATTCAGGGAAGCAACCCAAAATACTGTCTCCTAATGGGAGACTTTACCCTTTGGCCATGAACTCAGCCTGAGAGAAGACCAGCAGCTGCACCATCCCAGGAGTCAGGTGCCACCACACTTCTTGGATCTCCACATCTAGTGGAGGTGAACAAGTCAACAGATCTGCGTGCAAGTGAATAGCTATTCTGCCAAGATACAGGCTCCCGGGGACTGCACAGCTGGACTGGTCCTGCCAGCTGGGCTAAGGCTGGCACCAGCACAGAGGGGGAAGTGAGACCACAAGGGGCTGCAGGATTATTTCTCTGAGGAGAAGAGGCCAGGATGAACATTAGGCTGCATTATGCTGTCCCAGCCCACAGACCCTCCACCCCACAAGAGGGGGAGTTAGGAGAGGCCAGGAAGGATTCCTTTACGCTCAACATTTTTCCATAAATTAAAGCAAGTCAGCTTGCACCTCAAGTACAATAGCAACGAATGGCAAAAAGACATTTCTGCAGGTTGCATGGAAAGAATAGTGATAAAAATGCTGTCGCTAGGCTTTATCAGTCTGCCCCAATGCACCTACTGAAGGCAGCAGCAGAAGTAGATGTGCTACATCAGGGCTTTGAGTCCAAGGGCAGATACACCTGTGCAGTTGGGATGAGAGGCAGAAAGATGCTGTTCAACCTGGAGCTGGGCTGCCCACCCCTGGCACAAGGTACACGCGAGGGAAAGGCAAACACCTCCTTGGTCACCCACCTGACCAGCTGGGTAGTTGTATCCCTGCAAACACCATATACACAGCTATTTTCTGGATGGGAAACTTAAAATAAAGAAGATTATTATTCTACCAAACAAATAAACATTATTTCTTTCATCATCAGTTGTCAAATATAAGTGCATGACATCAGGTTACTCTACATCAGAAGAAAATAAAAAATATATTATTACTGTTATCAAACACTTTTCAGGATGGGGTATATTCC